TAATGGTCTAAATACAATGGATTTCATCCCTGAAACCATGGACTCTGCCATGTCGGTTAATACAATGCCTACCATTGGACATGTGATGCCTACAAATAGTATAGCCGAAGAAACTAGCAGGATAAAGGGACGCATCAGCCCACATAGCGCAGGAAGAACCCTTATTGAGAAGTTTGTAATAAGTTAGGGTACTACTACACTAGAACCTTCCAGAAAAAAATAATAATAATTGAGGATAAGGCAGACCAAGACGATAAACACAATCGGGTCCCTCCTTTTTGCCCCATGTCACCAACGCTCTCCTTGAGGGATCGCTCTAGGAGGGCAAATAAACTGTCTGATAGACTTGGTATCTGCAAATACGTGAAAGTTAACAAGACTTTTAAAAAATAAATCAAGGCAAAAAAAGTGGATGAAGCACCTAAAACCACTTCATCTGCCATGATCAGCTCCCTGATGTCGAAGCTACAAGAGCTTGCCAATAAAGAAGTAAGCCTCGTGTCGTGCGCGGTGGATGCCTTTCAGAAGGAGCAACCATAGTTTGCATCTTGAGCTTTAGCTCATTTCCATAATTTTTTTTATATGGATTGCCCATTTTTTGTGTGGAATTATCAAGGTGCAGTAAAAGCGGGCTTCTGGCATATCCTTAAATCCTTTGTGAATATCCACAACCCCACCTTGGTGGCTTTGTTGGAGTCTAAGATTGCAGGTGAGAGAGCAGACAAAGTAATTAAGACTTTGGGGTTCGATTACTCTCACAGAGTCGAGGTAGTTGGCTTTTCGGGTGGCATTTGGAGGATGTGGAAAGAGTCTATCCAAGCAAATGTTGAATATAATCACCGTCAATTTATCCATTCCAAGGTTAGCAGGAATGATGGATGACTTCTCTATCTCCATCATTTATGGGAGTTCGAATTCCCAGAAACGCAAAGACCTTTAGGAGGAGCTCACTGCAATTGGGCAACACAATGATCACCCATGGCTCCTAGCTGGGGGTTTTAATGTTATTTTAGAGGTGAGTGACCGAAAATGTGAGACTAAACAATCTGAAGGTTGTGCCTTCTTTAATCACTTCATTGATGTCAACTCCTTGCAGTAATTTGATTATGTTGGCCCTAACTTCACTTGGCGATGAGGACTTTATTTTAACGCCTTGATAGAGCCATTTACAACTAGAGATAGTGTAACCAGTTCTCGGAGGCTACTGTCCACCATCTTCCTAAAGTGCAACAGATCATAGGCCTCTTTTTATCATCCTTTACACCTGTTATAACCCCAATAAGGATCCTAAGCCCTTTCAATTTTTAGCTGGGTTGTTGCCCCACCCTGATTTTCCTAATTTGGTTTGGGAAAATTGGCAAAACCATCTCCCCATTTATAATAACATCAGTAGTTTCAACTTTTCTGTGCAGGATTGGAACAACAATGTGTTTGGCCAAATCATCAAGATAAAATGCATTCTCTTGGTGAGACTTAATGGGATCTAACGGGCTCTAGAAAGGCACCATTATGGTAGACTTCGCGAGTTGGAGAGATCCTTGGCTGAGGAATTAGATGAGGTGTTACTGCAAGGAGAAATGCTCTAGAAGCATAAATCTTCAAATCATCTCTGAAAGGAAGAAGAATAAAATTAGTATGCTAAAGGATGGGAATAAGAATTGGAGCATCGATAAAGATCAACTTCAGAGGATGGCTTCCACTTTCTTTGAGCACTTGTATACAACAGACAAGGGATCTATACCTCAATACCCTGTTAGGGGCTTGTTTCTAAAGTTAACAACTGCTACGGTTTCTCAGTTAGACTTTAGGGTGACGGACCAAGAGATCCATGACGCTTTGTTTAGCATGCACTAGCTGAAGGTTCTTGGTGTTTATGGTCTCCATGTAGCCTTCTTCCAAAACCAATGGGAGATTATTGGTGATTCGGTTTGTGCAATGGTTAAGGGTATTTTTTTAAGTGAACAGCTACCTACTGGGATCAATAAGACCCTTATCACTTTTATTCCCAAAGTTTCAAAATCAGAAACTATTAAAGAATTT